GTGGTCCAGCCTTCTCAGTCTGAAGTACAAATACTTGAGCAAATGTAGAATCAACAAGGAAATGTAAAGGCAGAAATTATCGTTTCTACACCAATAAAGGTTTTCTCAAAGCCAGCGTCTTTCTGTGAGGAGCTTGCATGTTCCTCCTGTGTATGCTGGACTGAAACATGCATGTTAAATGAAATGGGGATCTTAATTTTCCCTTTAGGAAAGAGCATGCATAGGTTTTCTGTCCTATGATGGCTGCTGTGACGGGCTTCAGCCCCCCTGGCCCTGACGTAAATAGAAAAAATTCTATGTTTATTTATTCTTTATGTAGCCTATATCTATATCTTCACATGTTTGTTTAACTCTTCAGATCCATACCTGAGAGTGACAGGACACAGTTGGGATGTAGTGAAGCGGGAGTTGAATAGTTTGATCTTCTCATTTTACATGAATTCCTTTGGTTGTTTTCAATAGAACTCCCCAGGCCAAAAGTGGCCAGCCAGACTTTATGTTTTATCTTTTTAATTGATGGCAATAGCTACAAAATAAACTTGAATTACTCGATTAATTTGTACAAGAACAAATCAATGCTTTAATAGTTTTCAATAATCTTCACAAAATATAACAAATGGAAAAATAAATGGTTTTGCAGTGTCTGAAGCTCACAGCAAAGCACAGACTGTTCTGTTTGTAGAACATAAACACTTGAGAAAACATTCCTAAAGTAGAGCGTAGGGAGGATGCTCAAGCTATGGATGAACGGCCTGGCCGATGAGAAAAAAGTAGATGTTCATGATAGGGACAAGGTACACCCTTGATGTACATCTGGAGGGAGACGGCCTAATGGTGGACCTAAAAAGGAAAAGGTTTATGTTATGGATAGAACCATATTTGGGCTCCGCGCCTGGACGAAAACAGCCTAACGTAAGGCAAAGAGTATACCAGATATAAGAGCAGACACACCCAGAGTAGGACAGAGTTTTCTGTGAGACCTCTCCAGGCTGGATGCATCATTAAATTTAATTTTTAATTTAATTTGAATTTTTCCTGCAGCACCGCCACTTGAGCTTTTTGAAGACGATCATCCCATAATTCACCACAGTTTCCTACAATTCATTTTCTGTTTCTTACTGAGTGAATAAAGTATCAAATAAGTTTTTCAAAGTTTACAAGTGTGCTTTACTATTTACTGTTTTAGGCACAAGCAACAACATAAAAAGACTTGACTAGTTTTCTTGCTTACTCCATATGAACGTCAGCTAATCACCGTACCCCTGAAGCATTTACAAAAAGATCAACTACGGTAAGTAAGTCTAATGTTGTATTCATGGTAAATAGCTCATATTTGAGAGAAATCACTTCTATTCAACCATTTTCCATTCCCATGTAGGCCAATTAATCCCATTCAGGGTTGCTGAAGCCTGTTCGAGCTGACATTACTGGGTAGACCCTGGAGTCCAGGGCCAGGATGACTGGATTCTGTCATTGTTAATGTTTATTTATGTGAGTGTGTCTGTGTGTGTCTGTGTGTATAAATCTA